ATATATATATATATATATATATATATATATATATATATATATATATATATATATATATATATATATTAGGGCTGTCCAAAAAAAAATTTTTTTTTCAGATTTGATTGCATAGTTGTTTATTTTGTGCCATTTGACATATTAATTAACTGTGCAAAAAATCTTTCCGATCAGATAATGTTTAGGGGGTGCTCAATGACCATAAAGTTTCACAAAAAATGTGAAAAACATGGAAAAAGTAACAAAGTTCCACAAACTTCTAAAACCCGGTTAATTAGATTTTTCAGATTTGATCAGTTTTAATTATCTCTAAATATTAAATTCTGAATACAAATTACAATCCACATCCACTTTATACTGGTTTATTAGCAGAGAAATTAATGAAATAAAATACTGCAATACGACTAAAGTTCTGCGGTTTTTGTTATATCAGAATTTTTCCAAAATAAAACACTAAGATTTTTGACTCTTTGTCATTGATTAAAATACGAATTATAAACAAAAAAAAATATTGTAAAGGAGTAACAGTTTCTCAAACCGTTATCAACTACTAAGTAGGTCAACTCAAAAACATATGAGCAATTAACATTTAATTATCGTAATGTTATAGTTCGTGCAATGTTAATGCTAGCGAGGACTATAACTCTTCAGAGTACACTTTCTGGCATCTGGCACTCGCTTTCTGTGATCCTTAACCACCTGAATTAACCTCTGCATTTCAGATTCATTCCTTGTAATCGATTCATTAAACATCGACATTAAAGCCAAAGATCGTTCGGCAGCATCATTTACTACTTTCAATGAATATACTAAATTTTTTCCTTCTTGGTATTCTGGGGAATCATTCCAAGTAGCTGGATCGTTGTTGAACAGAAAATCAATATCAACCTTCATTGACCGCAACGCACTTGCTGAAACTGATGTCACCAGCATGTCCAGAGATTTCTTCTCTAGACTTTCAATGTTCTTTAATTTGATCAACCTTTCAGACCAGTTCTCACCGTGAAATTTCATGTTGGAAATCATTTTTCGCTTCTCTTCCGTTTTAAGTTTGTTTGAAAACAAAGCTAGTGGGACCGATTCTGGTGAAAGGTACCACAAATGGTTTTGAAATTTCTTGACTGCTGCTTCGGAAATCGTTTTATTCACAACTGCAAACTGCTTAAGTTGCTGAAACAGAAACAAGTCATTAACTGGAGCATCGCTGGCATTTGGGCATGATATCCAAGATTTTACATAAACCAGACTAGCAAATAAGCAAAATTCACAGAGATTTTTTTCCTCTTTTGTGGTCAACTTTAACTCTTCACGAAATAAATAAATCTTAAAACAATAAATAACCTTGGCCATCCAGCGAGCCATGTGATAAGCACCAGGAATCTTGAAATGATAATTTTTCTCTTCTTGATCAGGCAGTTTTCCAAGTATTAACAGACAGAGATCCATGATTTCTTTGTAGTCATCCCTTGGCATTTTAACATGCAGGTTTTCTTTGAGGAATGCCATCACTTCATTTTGTAGTTCTTGCACCAGGGGTATTTTCATTCGAATGTCATCCAGAGGTTTAAAATTTCCTTGATTAACTTTAGGCCAATATTGCTGAAATCTCTGGAAAAGAGGTATGTTGGGACCAGATGATGGTCCGAATAGCGATCCAAACACTCCTGCTACTATGATCTCATGAACATGGTGTCTGCAAGCAAAATATAACAAATTTCTACCTATATGTTTCTCTAGAACTACACATGCACCATTTTCGGAGCCAGTGTTAGAGGCTGTAGTATCAAAACTCATTCCAATAACATCACCAATTATGTCCCAGAAATTAAGCAGATGAATAACTGCTTTTGCTTGGGCTTCTCCAGTTCCAGCTGATAGTTTTGCTATTCCAAGTATTTTGTCAACATTGTGACCTGTCACACCTACAGATAGCCGGTCAACATTTGCTTTAGGGTCTGCAGAATTTTTACGATCTATCATCAGTTTGCCATCCCAGTGGACGATTAATGGTGGTTTGTCCAAACGCAGAATTCAGTTCGAACAGTGGCTTCAATGTTTGATCGATGATAGGTTCGTTTTCTACGGACTGTAGAACGTGACAATGATCCATCATCGAGGTTCTGTCCACCAGCCCTTGCAGCTGCTGCTGCTAGTATAGTAAATTTTGTGTCAGATAGATTAATTCTGTCTAATGTTGATGAAACATCAGGCGAGTCAAGAATTGTATCTAAGATACATTGTCGTTTTGGAGTACTTGCTAAACTTGATTCAGCTGACCCTGAAGAACTTGCTTTACTGACTTGTTGTCTGTAATAAACAGGGATTTCTATCTCAAAATCTCTATCAACCATTTTGTCATTATCAACAGCATCGTTATCGTTGTCATCACTATAACTTTCGTCATGTAAAGGTTCAATAACAGGAACTATTGCACTCGCACCAGATTGTCTTTGCTCTTCTTTTAGCTTTCGTTCTCTCTCTGCTTGTTTCCTTGCTTCATTTCTTGCTTCTAATTTTGAAAGTTCTTTGTCCTCTCCAAACATCACCATTTTTCTCTGACATCTCTGATCCAATAAAAATTCTTTATCTTCTTCAATTCTGATCATGGTTTCAGCATCCTTGTGGGCAATGTCAAAAAGTAGGCCAATGGTGTCTGTAAATGATTTCTCTCTTGATTTCTGAGAATCTGACAATCTGGATTTTTTTTTTTTTATTAATTTAAATTCCTGGACTAAAGTTTTCAACTTTAAGACTACATTCGGATGAAATGCTGTCGGAATATGGGCTTTATTCCAAATAATAATCAGTTCATCAACAGTGGTTTTAAGACTTTCAGGCACTGACTTTTTGGTTGAATTAAGATGATAAAAAAATGTTTTTAAAACATCAGATGTTAAGGGAAGAACTTTATCTGGAAGATTTGGCTCTGGTTGTCCAATTAAAAAGATTTCGGTTTGAAGTCGTGTAGAGATAGCAACACTAGATGATGCTGCCATTTCAATGATAACTGAAAAATTATGAGAAAATCAAAACTCAATACCATATTATACAAACTTATCATTCAGTTGTTGGTTTATGCAACTGCAGCAATATATAATAATAATTATTACTAAAAAAATTAAATAAATATTTTCAAATTAGAAATTATTATTATCTGCACTTAATAACAAACAATACACTACCAGACTACCATGCTAGTTTTCTGTAATAGGTTACTAAGGTTAGGTACTATCAAAATATTAATACATTTGTTGTCAAACTGAAATTCAAAATAAAAATAATATTTATACTTGTAAACCTTTTTATTCTGTTTGAACAAATTCTAAATTGAGTTAAATAATAGTATTAAAATTATGAATACAAATTTTAACAAAATGATATAAACACAGTTGTTTTAAACACTAGCAGACATTTTTTAGTCTGGTGCCCTGATGACAGTTAATCTGCTGCACTTTAATTAATCTATATAGCACGCAATCAGACAATATTTCAGTGGAAAAAATCTAACTAACCAGGTTCTAGAAATTTTTGGAACTTTGGAACTTTTTCCACGTTTTTGACGTTTTTCGTAAAACTTTATGGTCATTGAGCACCCCCTAAACATTATCTGATTGGAAAGATTTTTTACACAGTCAATTACTATGTCAAATGGCACAAAATAAACAACTATGCATTCAAATACGAGAAAAAATTTTTTTTCCTGTGTTCACATGAACAGCCCTAATATATATATATATATATATATATATATATATATATATATATATATATATATATATATATATATATATATATATATATATATATATATATATATATATATATATATATATATATATATATATATATATATATATATATATACATATATATATATATACATATATATATATATATATACATATATATATATATATATATATATATATATATATATATATATATATATATATATATATATATATATATATATATATATATATATATATATATATATATATATATATATATATAGACACACACACACACACACACACACACACAATATTAGACACACACACACACACACACACAATATCAAATTAGAAAAAAGTAAAATAAAAGTTAGTACACTACTAAATAAAAGCTAAGTCTAAACGTCTTTCACCTGACTTTGAAAAAATGTCAATAACTCTTTCAACATCTGGAAAATGTTGAAAGAGTTTCGCTTTAACTCTTAATAAAGAGTTAAAGCGAGACTCAATCATATTACTTCTGGAGTATGTTTTTAGCCTACGTATAACTGAAATACTTCTTTCACATTCACAAGTTGTTATTGGAATTGTTTCTAAAATTATAAATGCTGTCCTTATATTTGGAAAACCTCTCATGTCAATGGACTTTAAAGTACCAGCAACAGTTGAAGGAATACTTGACTGGTTTATCCAAAATAATTCCCGTAAATATAACTCAGCATGTATTGAAGTAAAATGAGGCATATCAGATGAATAGAAATTTAAAAATTCATAAAAATCAGATTTCCATGGTTTTTTTAAGTTGTATTCTGGATAGTACAGTTGAAGGAACTGCTGCTAGACCTTTATACCTATTATCTAGCTCATTAATAAGATGTTCAATTAATGGAGAAGTAATGCTATGTTTAAAATAGTCACAAACTGTATTTGTTGGATAATTATCCCGGTAAACCTGGACATTACACAATCTAGGTCTCACTTCTTGTATATCAAGAGTTTTGGCCAAACTAAGAGCGATAGCGTACCATTCAGTGTGATATATATCAATTTTATTTTTAATTTCTAATAACAGATTTTTTAGATTAGTTATTTCAAAACACTGCTTGGATATGTCAAAAGATTTAGTTTGAAGAGTTACAGTAATTGCATAAAAAAAATCCATTAATTGTTTTGTAATAACTAAACTTACAATGAAAGAGAAATCTGTTAATAATCTTAAAAAAAAAGAGGATTTGGAAGCAGTTTCACTGTTATATTCCTTTGACTCATTTAACCCCATCTCCTCTAAAGCATGAATAGTAGGTATAAAATTATCAAAAAAAACATCAACACCTCTCAGCTTTTGAACCCATCTTGTTCGACAAGTATCTTTTATTTTTTCTTGATTTGGACTTAAATATTTTTGAGACAGTTACTACGTTTAGGAGATAAGTTAAAAAAATAAGAAATTTCTTTTACTTGACCAAGAAGATTTTTTACTTTTTGAACTTGGCATGCAGCTGCTACTACTAAACTAAGTCTATGGCTTGCACAATGAACAAATATAGCTTCACGATTAAGAGCTTTTATTCGAGAAGCAACTCCTTTATACTCACCTGCCATACAACCTGCACTGTCATACCCTTGGCCTCTACAATTTTGAATATCAAGTCCAAACTCTTGAAGTGCATTAAGTACATTTAGAGATAGACTAAGACCAGATGTACCAGTCTTGCAATCAATAAATCTTAAGAAATCCTCGCAAATCTTATTATTTGAATTTACATATCTTAAAACAAGTGACATTTGTTCAGTATTTGAACAGTCAACTGCTTCATCACAAAGAATTGAAAAAAAAATTGAATGCTTGACATTTTTTATTAAAACTTCCTCAATTGCTTTCCCACAAGAATCAATAAGTTGGTTTTGGGTAGTTTTTGATATATAGGTTGCATTTTTTGGACTTGAAAAAAGATGATTAGCTAATACTTGATCACCAGCATCAACACGAAAATTTAAAAGCTCTATGAAGTTACCGACTCCAACTTTTTGTGTAGAAGATTCCCCAATATCAGGATGATATTTGCTATCATCACGATGTCCACGAAATGCTAGATTGTTTCTACCAAGAAATATTATTGTTTTAATTATTGGAACTAATTTTTTTCGGTTATCAGAAAGAAGTTACAAACGAGAATTATTTAAATCAACCTCAATAACATTACTTTTCCCTGAATGCTCCAAAAACTTATATTCGTCTAGTTTTTTTCCACACACTTTAGAGCTCTTTCAACCCTTAAAACTATCTATCTTTTTTCAAACCTTTGGAGCTCTCTTTCATCTTCATGTTTTCCTGACTCATACAAACTACATCTTTTTAACTCTTCTGTTAACTGTCTCCTTGCTCTATAACTATATTCTTTTTTTTCTAGTAACTCCCAACTTAATAGTGGTTGCTTTCAGCCTTGTTAGGAGTGAATCAGAATAAAATAAAATAAAAAAATTATGATGGTAACCATGTATTTAGGCTCAATATAGGTACAGCCATCTTGTAGTATATATGTATCAAGCAGTTGATAATCACAAACTTCATTTGGTAAACATATTGGCAAAGATTCATACTCTTTAACTCTGAATGCATATGTGCATATACGCATATGTCACAAAGTAGCAGCTTACCGCAAAATAACCAGAGTTGTCATAATTAAATAATATTTTGAAAAACAAAGGAATTTCTTCAGTTTTTAATAAAGATAAAAAAAATGTATTGTACAAATGAAACTGAATCCAATTTATATTACTAGCATTACATTTACAAATAGTTTCTTTTTTATCAAAAACATCATTGACAACAGTGAACTACTGATATCTTGAACCCCGGATAACTCGAAAAACTTTTGAGTTCCCCTTGAACCCTTATTAACACTTTCTTATAAAAATCACTCAATAACTCAAGCCCCTGATAACTCGAACATTCACCTGATAAGTCAAACTATTTTATTTGTCCCAGTGGCTGATATTTTACCTATAACTCGATCTTTAAAAGAAAAATAACACAACGTCTTATTAAAGTGATTAATTTTTTTTATGAAATCAAATTTATTTGATTTTCTCCATATCACTCAAAAGAAATATTTTGACATACAAAATTCATAAAAACTAAAATCAAAAATAATGTCATTGCAATGTTGCAGATTTAGACTTAAGTTTAACAAAAAGTGGTCTCCAATGGCGTGTCATCACTAAGTTACCATTGTCGTGATTTGTTGATAATAACCATAATGGACTAACCAATCAGACAAGAATTTTTTAAGATATGTATTTTGTCCCATAAAAAATAACATTTATTTACACAAAGTTCAATAAGCTTGTGAATATCTACTAATGACAATTTAGTTCACATCTTAAGATTATCTTTATCTTTGCTTAGAATATCAATTATAGAAATTGTTGCTTTATCTAGTGGAATCAATGGATATAAATTAATAATATCAAACGAAACTTGAATTTCATTTTTATCTATAAACCATTCTTTAGCCTCAGATATGAATGAAAAAGAATTTTTTTGTTGTAAATGTAGGTTGTATTATTTCAAAAAGATGTTGCAAAAGTTTATGAGCTGGTTTACCAATAGTTAAAACTATAGTTCGCATAGGGTAACCTTTATCACTTTTATGTGCTTTAATGCATCCATATAATCTAGGTGGAACAGCGTCAGAAGGATATATTTTATCATAAGTTTTTTTATCAATTTATTTTTCCTTTTTTAATTTACTAAGAGTTTATTGAATTAAACAAAGAAAATTTTGTGTAGGATCGACAGCAGAAATAGTGTAGTTACCAAGGTGATCTTTGATTTTTTTTTATTTCTGATTCTGAATCTAAAATAGCAAATCCACATCCTTTATCAAAAGAGTATATCTTTATTTAGTTCGAGTTTTTTAGTTCATTTAAAGCTAGATATTGATTTTTAAAAAAAATTACTAGCTATTTTTACATTTAAAAACATGTTTAATGTTTTGCTTACATTTTGTTGCAAAAATTCAGCTTTTTCAATATTAACATTTTCCTACAATTTTAAAGCACATTCTTCAGTTGATACTATAATGTACATAAACGAAATTTGATTTTTTGATGGTACAAATTGTGGGCCAAAATTTAATAAATTTTCCTGGTTGCTAGATAATAACTTAGCAATTGAAATACAATGCTTACAGTGCTCTTATTCACAGGAGTATATCTTAAATTGCGACAATGGTAACTTAGTGATGACACGCCACTGGAGACCACTTTATGTTAAAGTTTAGTCTAAACCTGCAACGTTGCAACGACATCATTTTTGTTTTTAGTTTTTATAAATTTTGTATGACGGTTTTCTCAGTTTGGTAATGCTTTATACTATATAAGCCGAAATATCACCATTTAATAATAAATAAATATATGTGTATATATATGTATATATATATATATATATATATATATATATATATATATATATATATATATATATATATAATATATATATATATATATATATATATATATATATATATATATATACAAGGTGTTTGGGATAAATTTGACATATTTATAATTGATTATATTTTTTTGTAGATTAGAGGTATTAACACACTAAAGGTCATTTAAAGGTTTGGACCCTTTTTCATTTATATACAAGATGTCAGAAAGGATGGATGACTGGAACCCACCTGAATCATGGAAGAGAATAACTTGCATCATGAGGATTCATGCCGACCATCAAAATAAGGATATTATGACTGCTGCCCAATGCTCCCTGAACACAGTAAAAATAATCAGGCATGAACTAGAGACTTGCAATGGTGACTTTGAGGATGTAGTAAAAAGAAAGATCCCTAGCAAACAATCTGACTGCATTCGTACAGCAGAATTCCTCGCAAGTCTGCAGGAACAGGTGTTGAAGAACCCTGGCATTGGAATTCAGGTTTTGTCACGTGAAATGAATGTTGCAGCCTCTACTATGAAGCTTGCACTCAATGAAGACCTTCGCTACTACTCATACAAGCGCCGCAAAGGTCAGCTACTCACAGAAAAGACCTGTGAAAAATGTTTGATAAACGCGAAGAAACTTCTAGACAAAGTGAAACATCCTGTAGAACCACAAACAATCTGGTTCTTTTCTGCCAGGATCAAAAACACAACACACAGAATAACAGATAGCTTGCATGCAGTACAAAGGACATTCCTTGTGTAATACAGACTAAATTTCCCCAAACTGTGATGGTTTTTGGATGTGTATCCTCTGAAGGCGATGTGATGTCTCCGCCTTTTTTCCAAGAGGACCTCAGGTTGACTTCAGATGGCTACGTGGAGTTGCTGAACACTGTAGTCAAGCCCTGGATAACAAGGGTAGCCAATGGTAGGCCGTATGTGTGGCAGCAGGATTTGGCCCCTTGCCATACCTCTGGGAAAAGTCAAAAATGGTTGTCTAAAAATTTCTACGACTTCACTAGTCCAAATGTTTGGCCTCCAAACTCCCCAGACCTTAACCCCATGGATTATTTTGTATGGGGCGCAGTTGAAAAAGACACCACACTTTCTAGCCTGTATTTATTGCCCCTTACAGAAAAAGCCGGGCCTGAACTAGTCACGGATGATGCCGGTTGTGGATTTTTGTACCAATTTATTTAGCTCGTCTTTTCTCTAATATTGTTAAACCCATTGCTTTCAGTCTTTTTTCATATAAAAACTTTTTAAGTTGTGGAACTAACTTCGTTGCTCTTCTTTGCACTTTCTCTAACTCATCAATATCCCGTTGTAAATAAGGCTGCCATGCAGGTATAGCGAACTCAAGAAGCGGTCTCATAAATGTCGTATATAGTGATTTCACCATTTCCACATCGAAGTATGTAAACGTACGTTTAATTAGACCCAAAGTTCTTTGTGCTTTTGCTGTCGCTGAAGTCACTTGATCATGCCATTTAAGGTCGGATGAAATAATCACTCCTAAATCTCTTTTACTTACTGTTGTTTTTAATTTATACTCTTTGCCGTCGTGGTTCATATAATAACTCATACGTGGATTCTTTTTACCTAAATGCATCACCTTGCACTTTTCGATGTTCAATTTTGTCAACCAGATATCCGTCCATTTTACAAATTCGTTAATGTCATTCTGCAAAGACTCATGATCTTCAACATTTTTTATAACTTTGATAAGTTTACTGTCATCTGCATATAATTTGCAATTGGAATTAATAACTGATGGTAGATCATTTACGAATATCAAGAATAACAAAGGACCAAGCACAGAGCCTTGAGGCACACCACTAAAAATCTCAAGCCATGGAGACACGTCTATACCCATCACAACTCTTTGCCTTCTTTCTTTTAAAAAAGACGATATCCAGTCATTTATTACACCCTTGATACCATATGCTTCACACTTTTTCAACAGTCTTTTATGTGGAACCTTATCAAAGGCTTTGGCAAAATCCATATAAATCATATCTACCGTTAAACTGTCACTCATGCTTGCTGTTAAAATGTCTAATTTTTCTAGCAAATTTGTTACACAGGCTTTATTTTTTACGAAGCCATGTTGATTTTTTGATAGTAATTTATTTTCCATCAGATGAGTTATTATTGCTTCTTTTATGAATGCTTCCATAACTTTGCCTGGTACAGATGTTAATGATACGGGTCTGTAGTTAAGCGGGTCTGTTGTATTTCCATTCTTGAATATTGGAGTAATATTTGCTTCTTTCCATTTGCTAGGAATTTTTCCTGTTTCAATTGATTTTCGGTAAATTAAAGCTAATGGAGTTGCTGCACTACTTGAACAATTTTTAAGTACGTAAGGACTAATACCATCACTACCACATGCTTTGTTGACGTCCAAAAAATACAGTTTTTGCTGAACTGCCTCATTTGTAACAACATTTTTCCAATCCCATTCAAAAGGTTTTGTAATACGGTGTACAAACTCCGGAATTTCATCATGCTCTTTAACAAAAACCGATTGAAAACTTTTGTTCAATATATTAACAATCTCATGCCTGTCAGATGTGAGTACATTTGCATAGTTTTTCATTGATTGTATTTTACCGATGTTTTTTTGGTTCTTTTTCGCGTATTTGTAGAACAGTCTCGGATTTTTTTTTGCATTATTTATAAGATTTTTCTCATAATCAATAGTGGATTCTTTTAACTTGCTTTTGACTAATTTTTTTACTGCTTTGTACTCATTTAATTTATTAAGATATTTAAATTTACCAGCTCTTAATTGGTTCCATAGATTTTTCTTTTTACGTATTAAAGCTTTAACTTCAATTGTTATGCATGGGTCTTTTTTAACTTTTTGTTTTTAATTTTATTTTTTTTTTTTTTTTTTTTTTTTTTTTTTTTTTTTTTTTTTTAGTTTACAATGTTAGTCGTGATACAAAATAATATAAGTCGTGATATATAATAATATAAGTCTGATACATATATAATAATATAAGTCGTGATATATAATAATATAAGTCTGATACATAAAAATATTTAAGACTTCTACAAGAAAAGAAAAAAAAAATGAGTATATATATATATATATATATATATATATATATATATATATATATATACAATTCAGCGTACTAACAATATAAGACTAGGTTTCCGAAAGAAGATCAGAAGG